GAAAGGCATACGGCAGCGCCATGAGAGAGAGCGACACAGAGAGAGAGAGAGAGAGAGAGAGAGGAAGGACAAAGGCATACGGCAGCGGCATGAGAGAGAGAGAGAGAGCGACACACAGAGAGAGAGAGAGAGAGAGAGAGAGAGAGAGAGAGAGAGAGAGAGAGGAAGGATTGAAGGGGATACGGCAGCGGCATGAGAATGGAATTAGAAATAATGGATGAATTCAAAAATCATACTCTTAGCTGTTAAAATCACTTAACTGTAACATTAACGGAAACTGTTCATAATTGTTGTCAAACGGAAACTTTTTTTATATATTGATTACGTCTGAAGTTTCATAGAAAGGATATTAAATTTTGTTGTCCCGCGACAATTTTCAGTTACGCGGAAATTCATAACGTCATACACGCCTCTTTTTTTCTTTTTCTTTTTTTTTTCTTCTTCTTTTCTTGCTTCTAATGCGTCTTGGAGCTTTTTCAGAACCGTACGGCTTAAAAAAAAGAAACCGAACGTCGGCTGATTTTGAGATCTCACATCACCTGTTAAATACGTACTGCAAAAAAAAAAAAAAAAAAAAAAAAAAAAAAAAAGAAGAAGAAGAAAACACCTGCAACTTAAATGGAGAACCTGTGTAGCATCTTCACGGAACGCGAACGAGATCCAAAACTCTCCGAACTTTTTTTTTTTTTAAGGCTAATTCTTTAAGCCCAACCACTTCAATTACCTGTCAAATCCGGACAGGACGGCCTTTCAGACCTTTTTTATTGTCATTATAGTATTACCGGGAACCCCGTAGCAGCCACATCCATGCTCAAGCCTCCAACGAGGGAACATGCCGGAGCTGCACCCACCAGCAGGTGCGATACCTGAGAGATATGCTCAAATTCGTAACCAAAATCGAGTTAAAAATCAAAAACCAAAAAACCGAAAGGCTTTTTTTTTTTTTTTTTTTTTTTAATGTTCGGCCTAACACGTTCGGGAGGAGAACACCTGAACATGTTCGGACGTTCGGAAAAGCTTCGAACATCTTCGATGTGCTACACAGCGGAGAAGGTTACTTGCTGTCTAAGGGCAACCAATCATTTACTACTTGTCGTTAAAAATGGACACCAGAAGTACTAATTTACTGATTTTTTAGTATTGCTGTTTTTTTAGTATTGCTGATTTTTTAGTACTGCTGATTTTATAGTATTGATTTAGCATCTCACTTTTTGCTTGCTGTGAGTCGTGTAAGGGACGCTGGGCCCGCTTCCCAGCACGTGCTGCCCGCCCACGAAGAGATCCGAGCCTTGATTAAAAAATAAAAAGAAGCAAATTCGCATAAAATTGTTGGTAAGTTGACAAATAAATAACCCAAAGTTAAGCGAGCAAATCATGACGCCAACCATCGTACTAAGCTAAACGGAA